CCTGACACCTGGGTAGGTACAGACTGCAAGGCAGGACGCCTAACGGGGGTTGACAGTTGGAAAGGAGGTTGTACGCGGTAAGTACTGCAAGTACTATCACTGATCCCAGGACCCGTTCCCAGGTCCTCCTTCCCCTGGGTCCACGGTGATTGGCTGATCCTTTCCCCTGCCTTATTGTCTGCCACAGGTGGGGCACTTCGCCGCCTGAGGCACTCATGCCTGACGCACGGCGTCAGGTCATGACAGTAGTGCCGTATTTGGACTTGAGTTATTAGATTTAGTTAAATATATCTATTTTTAGTCTATAAAGAAAGTTTAATTAGTAGTAAAAATCCCTATTTAGTATAGAATTAGCCTTTTATTAACTAGAAATAGCTAAAAGTAAGGAGTAAGTTATAGATTAAGCCTAAAAAAGAAGGTCTATTTAGGGTGAAATTAGTCCCTAACTATAAGTAGGACCTATATTTAAATAGATAAATCGATCTAAATATTTAAGCCCTCTAATTTAATTTAAACTTAGTTAAAAAAGCCTAATTTACATTAGTTTAATTTGCTTTATTTTAATTTGAATTTAAATGATTTACTTTGCCGCGCACATTACTTTCAGATTCTTCTTTCTTCCAATATCTGCATATATATGGCGGGTACACTAACCTCTCGATACCTCTCTTCCCAGTGGATATTCCAAAATGCATACCACCAAGTGACTCCCAACGAGCATGGAATTCAAACCCGGGCTTTGTGAATGCGATAAGGAGGCCAGCTGCAACAAAGACGACGACCTAGGAGTCTCCTCACATACCAATGGATGCGACAACATGGAGAAGATCAACCCAAAGTTGGAAAGGGCAGACGGTCGTATCGCCAAGGGGCGCGGACTTGGAGCATCGAAGTCAAGCAACTGGCCATAGCCGCCGCCGGGATAGCCACAGGTACACTGCAAAGATTTCTTGAGAACTTCTTTCCACACGAGGGAGGGTGGGTCGGCGATGAATCCGGCGAGGCGCTCGGGGGATCGGTGAAGCCGTGTATCGAGTCCACACCGACCAGCTGGAGAATTTGGTACTGTGATTAGCCTGAGTCCTGAGGAGAACGGCAAAGAGCGGGCGGCCAGCTTCAATACCCCTATCTGGTCAAATGTGAGGTGTTTCGCGCGCAAGAGGTTGCAGAACGGGGCTCGGGGCGTTCACGGGTGGATTCAAGAGATCCGAATAGGAGTGCTTTGGGTGAATGGAGACGCCAAAAAAAGATTCTGATTGCTGAGTACCGTTTGAAAACGTGGTGTTGCTCCAGCAGGTACCTATAATACCAAAATCAAAAGACGAGGTTCCCGCAACTGCTAGGGCGGAATTGGGAGGGTTCAAACTTTTAGTGGTCTTTTGTTCAGCAGAGTGTTATGACGCGCTGGCCAATAGGGGCCAGGGCCTGCCCGCTTCTGCTCACTGCCTGGTAACTCGGCCACCCCTCAAGTCCAAGCTTCTGTCAGCTTGAAACTTGACCACCGGACTCATATCGATTTCAATTACCTAGGTATCCAAACCCGAGAACAATCACTGCTGCTCTCCAGCTCTCCAGCTACGGCTTGACTTTCAACTCGGGGAAGTCGACAGTCAGAGCCCATTCTTCACGTCGCAACTCAGAACAAATCTAGGTGATCAACTCTGCCGAACCCAAACTCGCCCTCTTACCAATGGAATGACACGGATTTCTAATGCCTTCATTTCATCAAGCAGCTCGCCATGGCTTTCCTAGACACCGAGTAGCATTGCTCTTACGAGTGTCCGTCTGTTCCAATCCTGGATACCCAGCCTTGTCGACAACATGCTCCATTCCCGGCGAATTAAATTCTTACTCCATAACGACATCTTATGTCTCGTACCGCCATACCAATGCTTCCAGACGCTGTCCGTTTATCGGATCTCGCTTCCTTTTCTGGCTTTGTGCGGGCCGAAGCTACAAACCGCGGCGCTTCCTCCATGCTGCATACCCACCTCCGGTTGGACCCCTGGTGCCAGAAATTCTGCTCGCCTCAGCAGCGTGCCTCTGAAGAATCGAACTCGCAGCGAATCCGCCACAATACCCGCTCTACCTGCCGACGGCGAAAGCATAACAGAATGCTTCAAGATTTCATGAAGATGTACACGACGCCTCGTTGACAGTCAGCCCAGAACTGGCCCAATCCTGAGACCAGCGATCGAATGAGCACAAGATTAAAACAGAAGCGCATTCTACGTGAAGGCTTGCGCTTGCCTTGTCGCGCAAACCTTTCCCTACTTCGTCTTTCAATATCTTTCTGAGTACTTGCTGCCCGGCCAGCAGCAAGCGCGAGTTCAGGTTACCATTTGACGGGGCACCATCGGAATGCTCGAAATAAGCAGATTGTTGGTCGCTCCTTTGCCATTTCTCGCTCGGACTGCAACAATTTGAATTTCTGAGCAGCTCCTTGCTGGACTCTGGCAGACAATTCACAAGATCACCCTTTTCTCAATTCAACATTACAACACATCCATCGGTTACCGATACCTTGCCTTTGACGGCTCGAGATCGTTGGGAACACTGGGCCAGTTCACCACGGAGGTGGTAAAGCAGACATTGGTGACTGGAGCTTCCGAGTTCGGTCGAATTAGAGCCTTGGACACGCCGTGCTCTCTCCAACTACTTCGAATCGGATACAAAACGCGGCGCGGACATGCATTTGCAATCCCTGCATCACCCTCGTCCGGGGCTTTCAGACTCTGCAGCCGCTGAATCGCATTGGTGTTCTAACCAAAACGGAAGCCAGAGAAAGCGCAGCAGAAAATACAAGTCACGACAGGATACGTGAACTTGAATAAGGGCTCGGACTCTCAACACACCAGTCTTACCCAATCTTCAAATCATTGCGGTACTTTTTCGGTGGGTCTTACGAAAATGAAGACTCTATTCGGGTTAACTTTCTATTCGGAACTTTGCCAGTGTGGTGCAGCCGGCCTTTTTGGGTTTACCGTGGATCTTGTCGCTTCAACGCGCAGCTGTGACGATTGATCGAGCTCTCAGTGCACTTTGGAAGAGCATTCCGGATGTTGTTCAGTCAACACTCACGACGAAGAACTGAGATTGCCATGCCCTTTACGGACCTCGCTCGCTCAACCACACGCGCCGCTTCAGAACATGAAGCAGAGGCCCATTTGTGGTTTCGAAGGCTGAAATAGTCGGCGTCAACAACAATCTCTCAGCAGCAACGAGTACACTGGTTCTCTAGTCAGCACTTGTTGGGCGCCATCATTCAAGGTTGCATGACTCGAGAAGCTCCAGCCAGGGGCTGTCATGTTTGGGTCGCCACCAAAGACTAATCCGCCGGCAAACCAACGACTCTCCACTCGGTCCACAGCCAGATGGGCCACTCCCGAGTGAGCCACAATTGTCAACCGACGCGACAAGCTTTTCAGCAAGGGTGCATGGTCTAGTGGTATGATTTTCGCTTCGCATCCTCGAGACTTCTCGACTTGCGCCTGTGAAAGGTCCCCGGTTCAATCCCGGGTGCATCCAGCTTTTGCTTCTGGGACGTATGACGATGTATGGCACTGGTGTCTTCATTTTTGAATATTTTTCTTTTCATTTTTTGTGTTTTTGGTTTTCTTTTTTGGCTTTCGCTTTTAATTTTCATTCCTTTGTCATTTCATATTACACTATCATTATGTTCTGTATTCATGTATCACCACTATATACTGTGGGGTCGAGAAAGGGGTTGGAAGGATTTGGCCGTGGGACGTTTGGTGACTGGTGATATGACCAAGATCAAAGTCATCAAAACAAGCCGCAGCTGTAGCTCCTCTGGCCAATGGGCAGCCTTTCTGGCTGGGACAGTGATATGAGTCCGTCAAGGAGGCTCTGAAGCGGGTTGTGTCTGGGGACCTTGTCACAGGGTTGGCGGTGATGCGGGCCGAGGTCAAGTCCTTCAAGGAGGCGCTTGAGCGGTCTTGTGTCTGAGGACCTTGTCACAGAGATGGCGGTGATGCGGGCCGAGATCAAGTCCTCCAAGGAGGCTCTGAAGCGGTATTTTGTCCGAGGACTTTGTCAAAGGCATGACGGTGATATAATCGAGATCAAGTCCTTCAGTTGACCTTTGGAGCCGAAGACGGCTATTCAATGGCCTGTCGTCCCATCAGCGACTTTCAAATTTCCTCCCAGTGCCAAAAGCAACACAGGTGTGGAAGCAGGGAGGTTGTCGACTCGGAAGTCGGAAAGACTCAACACCGACTTGAACCACAACAGCATGGATTTCCGGGCACCTATGACAGCTCTCCCATATAACTTGGATGCGGTTTGGTGGCAGCCAGCTTCCAAACTTTGAAGTGCTCCGATTCGGTGTTATGGTTGAGCTCAAGGCAGTCGAACCCAACCCCTGAAATAGGGTGAGAGCAGTATGCGGGCTTGACACCCAAACACTCGCGCCAAACCTTGACTCCTTGGTCCGTGTTTCAAGACGACCCAGGAAGTTCTAGCAACCTGGATTTCTCCCACAACAAATTCTCACGGCGGGATTCTTTCTCGATGCGGCCTGCCTCAATCAACGATATTATTCTCGAGATGGGGGGTTTGGTTCTGACTTTCGAAAGGGACGAGAGCCGTGATTCGGTTGGAGGCTGCGAGTGGGAATCTTCTTTAACCAGACGAGCTTCGGGGATGGTTCATGTCGTGAGGGTCCGGAAAGGGTGATATGATCGAGATCATCGCCAGTTCTGCTTACCCAAAATGGCCCACTAGTGTTGGTACATTCGAACGCCCACGTTCAGCCAAGTCATCCCTTGGCGGGATTCTTTCTCAGGGGGGCTACTCCAGAATAAAAGGATGATATGGTCGTGGCCAAAATGTCAACAAGATCCCATGGCAGGATTCTTTCTCACTGGGTCCTGCCTCGATCAATCAACAAGATTACCCGGACCTTCCGGCCAAGGGAGTACTCGCTGGCTCTGACAGTGTAGCGCGCGGGAGGCCCAGAACATTGAAGGGCCTCAAAAACCGGTTGTTGCCTCAAACTTCCATAGGCTTGAGCCGATAGTCCCTCTAAGAAGCCTGCGCGCTGTATGATGGAGTCCAAGGTGTTCGGGAGAATTCTCATGGCGGGATTCTTCCTGGGCGATGAGCTTGTAATGGCGGCTTCTTTTGGGTTGGCCCAAGAAAGGACATGACAGGAGGAAGGGGTTTTGGGTCTGGGTGTTGTGGCTGGGATGGTATATGTATGAAAATGCCATGGTCCACGTATGATTGCTCTTGTTGGCTCTGCGCAGCGGAATGGGAATAGGGAGATTGATGCCCTTTTTGGACTTTGTAATAAAACTCTCATAAAATATCAGAATTGGAATTCTTCAACAGCATCGTGTCGGGAATCTCTTTGCTATAGTGGTGTTTAACATGATGAGATGCTCGAGGTCAAGGCCTTTAATACAATCTTGGACGAGTGAGCTCTCGGTAGGAGTCTCACATTAAACCATTCGACGATTACGTTATGTACTTGTGACAACATTGTAAGTTTCATAACGTGGCCATCATGAAGCCTCAATGATCAGAGTAGCAGAAGGATAAAATCAGCCACCGTCGAAGAACATGAAGCCAACCACTGAACAATACCATGAAAGGTGATATGTACCGAAATTGGTTCCGTGGTCCCTATACGATGGGTATGTCTCACATTTTGATATCTGACGTTGATTCTGCTGGTCGCTAGATCTCCGTTGTGTAACTTGTGTGTGAGCAACAGTGAGCTGTTCCGAACGGATACTGGTGATAGGGATCGGAACAAGGCATTAAATGGAATCTCGTTGTTGCGGAGTGAGGAGGAATATTTTTGTCTTCGCTCTATCTGTTCTCTTCCAAATCCGTACTTGTTAAGCATATTATGATACAAATACAATATACAAGACCAATATGACACCCTATGACAATACGTGAGTCAATGCTTCTTGTAGGCTATCTAGCCAACCCCCCCAAATAATACCAAGCTGTTACCCTCAACCACTCTGCTAAAGTCTTACTCGATAGAGACAAACTGACTGGCTGCCCGAGCCTTGTCGCCCGATTGGAGGAGCGCCTGAACCACCTGTAAATCACCCAGTGCCTCTCTCGGTGACTGCTTCTGGTCAAAGGTACCATCGTTTCTCTTCACAGCCTCCAAGAAGGCCCTGACCTCCGTCTTCACACCAGACTCCCTCTCAAACTCCTCGGTGATATCCACCTTTTGACCGTCCTTGACGCCTTGTACCCGGACATCCCTGGGAGTCCAAACGACTGTTCCATTTTCCGTGGTCACTTCGACCGACAGCCCAGCCTTGAACTCGGTTCCGAAGGTCATGATGATCGTGCCAGCAATTTGCTCGTCAGTCAGCGCGACAGCGTGAACAGTATCCGTGGGCTTGAGGTTCTCCACAAGCAAGTTGCTGAACGCGACGACCTTGTCGATCTTGGTACCAGCTGCACCGAGCATCGTTCGGAGGGCGGCAACAAAGTGCACACCACCGTCGAGGAGGAAACCACCTTGGTAGTCGGGAACCTTGCGCCCTAAATCCGCGGCAAATACGATCTTGTTAACAACCAGTCCAGTTTCGACGGAATTCCTTTCCCGTTACAATGAAGCGGTGACTCACACTCAGTGTTATAGTACTTGTTCTCATCTTGAATAAAGCCATACATCTCCAGCTTGAATGTCTTGACCTTGCCGCCCAGCTCGGCAACCTTGTTCTGTGCAAAATCAAGGCTCTTGTAGAACCTGAAATTCTCTGCAACAGCCCAGATGGGCTTCTTTGCAGCGCTGAGTTCACTTTCGTAAAAGTTCAGGAGCGCCTTGGCCGCGGCAACATCCTGCGCGATCGGTTTCTCCGAGAGAACATGCTTGCCAGCTTTAAGTGCCTCCTCGATAACCTTCCCCTGGTTCAGAATGGGCAACGCGACGATCACAGCGTCAATATCTGCTCGGCTGAGCAGCTCGTGAAGGCTCTTGCCTTCACTCTGTGGGCTATCGAAGTAGGCTTCTACCCCCTGGAGATTGTGCTCGGTGATGAGCTTTTCCGCGGAAGATTGTGAACGAGAATAAACCGCCTTGAGTGTGCCAAGGCCGGATTTTTGGGCCGCGAGGATAGCTGGAAGATGCTCTATGATGAGGAACTAGGTGTTAGCGCCGTCATAGAAACTTGATTATCCAGACTGTCGCTGTTTCTGGATTAACTCCTCCACGCGCTCATTACCGGCACCACCAGTATGGGAGATCCAGGAAAGTGTATATAACGGCAGGAAAGATTCTTACCCTCCTTGGCAAAGATGCCAGCCCCAAGAAGCGCGACGCCGACCATATTTGTGTTTGAAGGTGAAGTTCGGGAGGATTGGGCTAACAGCGTTCGCGAATTTCGGTTGTTGACATTTGTTGTACGGTGAGGGGTAAACAATCGTCACAGGAGGTGGGGGACATGGATTTCGATGATGAGTCGATGTTGTAGAACCGGATTTCGAGTGGATCTGCTAAATCCCGGATACTAGTGCGGAAGACGGCCCGACTTCGCTGGAGTTCCAAGACTCCAGTGGCGATAAGATCGTAGATCGGAGCAATTTGATTGGTCAATTGCTGCCGTATGGCCTCCGCTATCTCCATAACTCTAGGGGGAATACGAACCACCGGGAACAACGTCGTCTCGTGTGCTCCACATCTGCCATCTAAGTAAACAGTCGGACTGGCCCGAATAGGTAATTAGTTGTTGTCAGCCTCTCCAAATGAGCTACTAGACGTGAGATAGAATTGACCCAGGACAAAACGCAAAGGCCAGATAGCCAAAATATTATACAGAGAACGCCGTGAACTTCACGAAGCCTCCTGTCAACTCCTCTTCTCTTGTCCACTCTCCGCTCGAAATCGATCTTCTCGCATCTTGCTCTGCCTCTGCTCTTCTCCTTATGTTGTTCGGGTCAATATCACTATTTCATATCCTCTTGTTCTTAATCTACCGGCGGTAAATGGCTTCGAGAACAATCCACACCGCTCGAGTGAAATCTTGAGCACAGCGGTCCTGTTACTGGTCGCCTGGCCTGTCGGTAGCTCATCGTCGCAGAGAGGGAGTTTTCCGTTGCCCGTGAGGCCGCTAACGTCGAAGGGAACCGAGGACACTGTATGAGAGCGCAAAGGTATTAGCCAGTGGATCTAGGATTCTGTATGTAGGACAGAGCGATCAGAAGACGGCTGAGGAGAGAACAAACGTACAGTAAGTACTTGACGAGGGCCGTCTCCCAGCTCATCCACCATAGTCTTTGCGCAGGGCTGACGAATTTTTCGGCATCGAGGGATAATCATGTGTCTGGTTTTGTATTTTTCGCAAGTGTTCGGAATCTTCAAGCAGTGCTTTTGGCAGCTTCTACCACGTACTCTGATGCCTAAACATGGATTGGTGCGTCAGCTTAGGGAGTTCTTTTGATTTCGTATCTGGTGGTGGAAGACAAGGCCGGGCTTGTTCGGCATACCGCGAGGGAAATGATTCAAGGGATAAGGCAACTCGCGCGGAGCCGCA